TTCTCTTTGGCACATGTGGCTGCCTTCATTGGCAAACTTGGAATAAATGAGAGGCCTAGGAGCCACCCCATGCCCCCCACACACAAATGTACACACACATACACGCATGCACACACATATACAACATACACACATGCACACATATATACAACATACATACACACACACACAATCAGGACCAGGTGCACTGTACGAACAGCATCTACCTATGTCCACTCCTACCCACGCTCACCTCTTATGGCCCAGATGCTGGCTCCAATGAGGTTTGCAGTAAGCCCACAAAATCTGAGGAAGGCCTGAAGGACCAGGATGAAGGACGGAGAGGGGCCTCTGGGTACAGGAGGCTGAAAGGACAGAAGCCGAGAGAAGACTTGGAAATCACCCATCCCCCAGTGCATGGATGGAGCCTGGGAGCACAGCAAGTATAAATATTTAGGATTTCCAGTGTGAGAACCCTGGGCAAAAAAGCCAGATCCCCTTGCCCAGGCCTGCAGAGCATGATAACAGAGGCCACTGCCCTCAAAGAGTTTCTTCCTGTGTCTCAGAGTCACAGAGCATGGGAGGTCCTGGGCCTGGTAGACTTGTAGCCTCCAGACTCAGACAACAATGTCAGTGATGATGGATCAGTGAGCATCCTGATGCAGGGGTGCTGGGGACACCCTTAAAAGGGTAAAACTTATTTCACATTTAATCCAAGCAGCCAGGAGAGGTGTGACTCAACTGCTGGGCCCCTGCCTAGAATCCCCTAGTGAAGGGCTGGGATTGTGGCTCAGTGATAGAACACTTACAAGGTTGGTACCCAATATTGCCAGAAGAAAACAAAACCTTAGGATGTGGTGACACATGCTTAATCACCTGGGAGGCAGCAGCAGTTGGATCTCTGTGAGTTCCAAGCCAGCCAGTGAGCCCCTATCTTAAAAAGGGTGGGGTGGGTGTTAGATCTGAAATGATGAAGGCGACATTAAAATAAAAGAGGTCGTAAATGACCTTGACAGAACAGACCATAAACTGACCTTCACAGAGCAGACAGTCCTTTACTAGAGCAACAAGGCGGAGATTGAATCAAGGCACGGGAGGCTGGGGCTTTAGAGGACACAAAAGGGAACTTTTGGGTGGAAAACTTCACCTGAGGGTTGTTCTTTGGTATTTTTATCCTGTGTTGACGTCATTAGTCTTCTCCTGGCTCTGGCCTGGAGATGTTCCTTACTGTGCTGGCTTTCTTGTCAGGCAAGATGTTTCTGTCCCTGTGCTACCAGTGAGTTTCCGAGCTTGTCTGAGGCTCTTTGTTTTAGATCCTTGTCTTAGTCACTGTCCTTCTGCTGTGAAGAGACACCATGACAGAGGCCTGACACAAGAAAACATTTTTTTTTTTGTTGTTGTTTTTTTGTTTTTTCGAGACAGGGTTTCTCTGTGTAGCCCTCCCTAGCTGTCCTGGAACTCACTCTGTAGACTAGGCTGGCCTCGAACTCAGAAATCCGCCTGCCTCTGCCTCCCAAGTGCTGGGATTAAAGGCGTGTGCCACCACTGCCCGGCTACAAGAAAACATTTTATTGGGTGCTTGGTTACAGTTTCAGAGGGTGAGTCTATGACCATTGTGGCAGGGAGCATGGCAGCAGACAGACAGACAGACAGACAGACAGGATCCTGGAGCACTAGCTGAGAGCTTGCATGTGACTACAGGCAGGTAAGAGAGGAGTGACCTTTTTGTTTGGTTTTAGACCCTGGAACTGGATACTGGGTTGCATGTTTTGCATACCTAAGCAGACTTGGCTTATAGGTTCTCCCAGCATCCCTCAGTCCCAACCTGGCACACCCTGCTTTTAACCCTGATCTTTCCAGCTCAGAGGTTGGGCTACCCTTCCCCCAGAGACTCTTCCCTAATAGTCCAGACATTTTGTCTCCCTCATCCCTTCTCCTTCTCTCTCTTCCTGCCTTGTACTCTTTCTCTATCTTTCTTTTCTTTAACAGAGACTCCCTCATGGTGACATCTCTGGCCTCAGTCCTTGGGGGCAATGAACTTACCCAGGAGCAGCTGCATTTAATATAATCTAACTTGGCTTGAACTGGCTGGCTCACTTCATTGGCAGAGAAATAACTTATTACTTTTAAGTCCACAAAGTGACACATCTCCTCCAATAAGGCCATACCTCCTAATCTTTCCCAAACTGTTCCACCAAGTGGGTACCAAATGTCTGAATATATGAGCCTTCTTCAAACCACCACAGTTATTAACTATTCACTGGCTGTGGTGGTACATGCCTTTTATCTCCACACTCAGGAAGCTGAGGCAGATGGATCTCTGTGAGATCCAAGCTAGCCTGGTCTACATAAGGAGACCCTGTCTCAAAAAAAAGAAAGAAAGAAAAAGAGAAGGATGAGTGTGCTCACATTCCTGCATATACTGCACACCTTCAAATGAAAAGAGCCAGGCAGTGCTGGTGCACACCTTCTATCCCAGCATTCAGGAAGCAGAGGCAAAAGGGTCTGTCTCTATGAGTCCAGGGCCAGCCTGGTCTACAGAGCTAATTCCAGGAAAGCTGGGGCTACACAAAGAAACCCTGTCTCCAAAACCCCAGGGGTGATTGGAGGGAAAGAGAGAAAGAAAGAAAGAAAGAAAGAAAGAAAGAAAGAAAGAAAGAAAGAAAGAAAGAAAGAGAGAGGAAAATAGCTCAGGCTTGTGTGGCTCCGCTGTCCTTAATGCCATCAGACCTAGGACTCTGTTCACACAGCACAGCTCTGCTCACACATCCTACTGCAGAGTTTCTGTTTTTCTCCCACACAGCCACATTTTCATATCAGTCAAACAAAAACTATGCAGCAACAGAGCAAAAGTAAGAAGTCCATGTGGTGCCGGGCAGTGGTGGCGCACGCCTTTAATCCCAGCACTTGGGAGGCAGAGGCAGGTGGATTTCTGAGTTCGAGGCCAGCCTGGTCTACAGAGTGAGTTCCAGGGCAGCCAGGACTACACAGAGACCCTGTCTCGAAAAACCAAAAAAAAAACCAAAAAAAAAAAAAAAAGAAGAAGTCCATGTGGTCATTTTCCAGAGATAGAGATAGAGAGATTCCACAGCCCAGACACAGGATCCCTGACCAGGCCTGCATTGGGCAAACTGGCCTCTCCTCACTTAGCAAGGTCCTCAACTCACCAAAACTGAGCACACTCCAGGGCCAAGACGGGAAAGGACTGTTTCAGACTAGAAAAAATCTGTCAGCCCTGGGCTAGGAAGAAGCCCTTTGCTTCTCTATTACCAGCAGAGAGAAGAAAACTCAAGACATCACAGAGAAGGGCTAAGGACAAAAGAGATGAGGGTCAGTGGCAGGGCTGAGATGTAGACGGGACAAGAGAAAGGTGAAACTTTAGGGATAATGAAGAGACAGCTGGTGACAGTCTTGTAAGGGGAGGGATAAGAATAGGAAGCCAGGGCTGGAGATGGCTCAGAGGTTAAGAGCACTGACTGCTCTTCCAGAGGTCTTGAGTTCAACTCCCAGCAACCACATGGTGGCTCACAACCATCTGTAATGGGATCTGATGCCTAGTCTAGTGTGTCTGAAGACAGCTACAGTGTACTCATATACGTACAGTTAATAATTAAAAAAAAAAAAGGAAGCCAGATGGGGTGGGAAGGGTGAACAGGAGCAGACCCAGCCTCCTGGGAGGGGACCAGCAAAGCTGGCCCTCAGGATCTGAAAGACAAAGATGAGGGACCACTTAGGGCCCAGCCCTTGACTGGCTGAGGCCCTGACCAGTGTGCCCGAGATCAGCACTGCATCTTTCTTCATGGAGGGCAGGGAGACAGGATATTTAGTTAGGGGGTCTGTTAAGGGCCTCAGATGGCTGTTAAAGATGGGAGGCAGACCAGCAGAAGGATACTGAGTCCAAGGCTAGCTTGGGCTGCATGGTGAAATGGGGAAGAGAGAAGTGAGATAGGAAGGAAGGAGGGAAGGAAATGGATGCAAGGAAGAAAGAGAAAAAATGAAGGAGTCAACCTAAAGTAAGGACGTATGAAAAACATAAGGAAATCCAATATTGGTAAGCTGATTGTTCGATAAAACTGGCTGGAGAGATGGCTCAGGGTGTTTGATTCCTAGCACCCACACAGCAGGTCACAACCATCTCTAACTCCATTCCCACTTCAGGATGCCCACCTCTTGTCTCCACAGAAGCAGTACACAAATATCCATTCATGCAAAATACTCCTGGGCATAATATAATAAATAGTTTAAAACATTTTAGGGGCCTGGCAAATAGGCTCAGTGAGATGCCAACTACCACCAAGTCTGAGGATCTGGACTCTATATCCAGACCTCATATGACAGGAGAGAACCAACTCTTTTTATTTTTAAAACATTTATTTTATTTATATAAGTACATTGTAGCCGTCTTCAGACACACCAGAAGAGGGCACCATGTGAGCCACCATGTGGTTGCTGGAAAAGCCAGTGCTCTTAAACGGCTGAGCCATCTCTCCAGCCCGAGAACTAACTCTTAAAAGTTACCCTCTGACCTCCTCATGTGTGTCATCACATATGCACGACCACAGATAATAAATAGAATTTATTTGGAGAGGGGGGGAACATAATGGTATATGCCTTTAATCCCAGTGCTTGGAAGACACAGGCCCACGGATCTGTGAGAGTTTAGCCAGCCAGGAATGTTGGCACATGCATCTAATCCCAGCTCTCAGCATAGGCAAGCGGATTTCTGTTAGTTGCAGGCCAGTGTGGGGCTGCGTGAGATCCTGCTTCAGAATAAAAAAAATGCCTGAAAGGCCAAAAAAAGGAAAAAAAAGGTAAAAGGAGAGAAAGAGTCGCATGCCTTGCAAAAACGTTCAAGATAAGGATTCGAACCTTCAAATAACTGTGCGGCCCTTCCATTTCCGTAGAAAGGGGCACGGTATCTTTATAACAACCCCTGGAAAGATTCCTTCGTTCTTTAAGCCACCCAGCGGTAAGGACCGCAGGATGACGTCACTGGCGGGCCCACAGGAAGTTGGAAGCGCTACGAACCGCGCGGTACCGGAAATCGGCCACGCAGTGCGTAAGGCCCATCCTCCTTGAGTCTCCTGTACGGAAGTGAGCTGTGTGCGCCGGAAGCGACTGCAAGAGGCTGCCTCGTGGGGAAGCAGGCAGCATGGGACAGTCAGGGCGGGTGAGGCGCGGCGGCCCGGGCGGGCATGGGGCTCTGGTGGGGTCGCGACCGAAGCCTGGGCGCTCACCGCCTGCCTGTCGTCCCCGCAGTCCCGACATCAGAAGCGCGCTCGCGCCCAGGCGCAGCTCCGCAACCTCGAGGCCTACGCCGCTCAGCCGCACTCATTCGTGTTCACGCGAGGCCGAGCGGGTCGCAGTGTCCAGCAGCTCAGCCTGGATGTGCGACGGGTCATGGAACCTCTCACCGCCACCCGCCTGCAGGTCTGCATCCCTCAGCCCTTCATCTCCAGGCCCGGGGCTCGGTATCTGGGCGAGGACTTGGGGCCAGAAGTTGATAGTTAAATTCAGTAGCAGAGTGCCTGCCTTTCATGTGGGAGGCCCTGGCTTAATCCCCAGCACCGCTTGATCCAGTCGTAAGGAACGGTGTGCAGGCGAAATCGGGAATAGGAAGGAGGGGGAGAGCACCTTAGAGGCTATCCGTGGTTACATAGTGAGGTCTGGGGGGGGGGGGCAATCCTTAGGTGACTCAGTGGGAAAAGGGGCTTGCTACTAAGACATAGTTCAGTTCCTGTGTCCCACAAAGTAGAGAAAGCCAGCTCCTGACGGTTTGTCCTCTGGCCTCCATCTGTGCGCCCCTACACGCTTGTACACAAATATTCTTTAAAAATTATTTTTGAGTGCTGGGGCTATAGTTTAGGGATACGCGTAAGACCCCATTACCTCCAGAAAGGTGGTATGTGGTCAGAAATAACATCTCAGAATCATCAGTTTAAGGTTCTTTGCTCAATAAGAAATATCTGTATCCATTTCTTTCTCCATTGTCAGGTTCGAAAGAAGAACTCACTGAAGGACTGTGTGGCAGTGGCCGGCCCCCTGGGGGTCACACACTTCCTTATTTTGAGCAAAACAGACAGCAGTGTATACTTGGTGAGTGGCCACCACACCATGCCTTTCTCTCCCTGGGCCCCAGCTGCTCCTGTCTCATGATGAGCCCACTGCCCTGAGCTGTTGTGATGTTGGCTTCAAAGTAAACGCTCTGAAGGAAAGGAGCAAGGCTTTCCCTCTGTCCCACCCACTAGCTAGACCCCTCCACCCTCACCCAACCTTTCTTTGGCAGAAGCTGATGCGACTCCCGGGAGGCCCCACTTTGACCTTCCAGATCAACAAGGTGAAGAAGGGCAGCAAGGCGAGCCCATGTTGTCTGGAGAGGGCCCTGGCCACACAGGGGGTCCTCAGCCTCGCTTCACTTTCCCTTTCAGTACACACTGATACGGGATGTTGTCTCTTCTCTGCGCCGCCACCGGATGCACGAGCAACAGTTTAACCACCCGCCCCTCCTGGTGCTCAACAGTTTCGGCCCCCAGGGCATGCATGTCAAGCTCATGGCCACCATGTTCCAGAACCTGTTCCCATCCATCAACGTGCACACGGTGGGCAGGATCTTGTGGCTGCAGCAGGGGTGGTTGGGCAGTTGGAAAGGGAGCAGGTAGCGCAGACCACACGATATGTCTCCATTGTATGGGGAGACTTGCTGGCATAAAGCAACTAACTTGATCTTAAATTCGAAGGCAAAGTTGATGTGATTTTGTTGATCTCATGTATCTCAAGCTGGCTTCCGACTTTGTGGCTGAGGCTAGACTTCTGATCTTCCATCTTCTATGCTTAGTACACCTTAAGAGGTGTACAACCTTTTATTTTAGGTGCTAGTAATCAAACTTAGGCTTTATGCATTGTAGGCCAGTACCCTACCAACTAAGCTGTATCTCTGCCCCCTTTTCTTGATTCAAGGTCTATGTTAGACCAGGCTAGGATTAGACTTGTGATCTTTTTTGCATTAGCCACCTAGCAAGACTAGAGTTTCAAGTACACTCCTGGCTCCAGAGCTTCGGATGCTAAACCCTGGCACCAGTGGTTCTCCTTACAAGCTCTTAAGTCTGATGGTTGTCTTCGGTGGCCCCTGCAACTGAGACTTTTAGCCAGTGCTCCAGACAGACCCTGGTTGTAGCTTCTAACACCTGGGACATCCCTATTGCCTTGTGCAGGCACAGACTGCTAGAGAAAGCCAGTACTCCTTCCCAGTTTTAGTGCTTGGTTTCAGCACTTAGTCCACAGGCAGCTCATGGTCCCCTTGCCTCTGCCCCCAGGTGAACCTGAACACCATTAAGCGCTGCCTCCTCATTAACTACAATCCCGACTCCCAGGAGCTGGACTTCCGGCACTAGTGAGTGTGGTGGGGGGGACTCAGTGTGGGACACCCATGCACCTGATGAGAAGTCTGCTGCTGAGATTGTGTGATTGCTCAGCCTCAAAGTAAACGCCCTGATGCATGGATAGGAGAGGGCAAAGAGCTGGCCTTGGAGTCCACGACCCTTCACCTCTCCCTCTGTTCCCACCATTGCAGCAGCATCAAAGTGGTTCCTGTGGGTGCAAGCCGGGGCATGAAGAAGCTCTTACAGGAGAAGTTCCCTAACATGAGCCGGCTGCAGGATATCAGTGAGCTTCTGGCCACGTAAGAGAGCGGTTGGGTGGCAGCTGCGGCTTAGGGATCCTAGATCAGCCTGTGGAGCACCCGAGGTAACCTGTCATCCTACACAGGGGTGCAGGCCTGTCAGAAAGTGAGGTGGAGCCAGACGGAGAACACAATACCACAGAACTGCCCCAGGCTGTGGCTGGCCGTGGCAACATGCAGGCCCAGCAGAGTGCCATCCGGCTTACAGAGGTGAGGGGTGGCTATGGTTGCCCTCATAACTCCCAGTCCCAAAGCCAGCCTGACTCTTCCCATCCATGTGTTGCCAGATTGGGCCCCGGATGACACTGCAGCTCATTAAGATCCAGGAGGGTGTTGGGAACGGCAATGTTCTCTTCCACAGTTTTGGTGAGGGGGCAGGGTGAGGCCAGCCCATGAGAGCAGTGTTCAGTCCCATTGTGACCTTGACAAATAATGTCTGATCCTTTCTCACAGTACACAAGACTGAGGAGGAGCTGCAGGCCATCCTGGCAGCGAAGGAGGAAAAGTTACGGCTCAAGGCACAGCGTCAGAACCAACAGGCAGAGAACGTGCAGCGCAAGCAGGAACTGCGTGAGGCCCACAAGTATGCAAAGACACTGGACAGAAAGGGTTGGGAGCCTGCCTGGTCACCTGGGCAAGCTGACCCGTGATACACTTATCCTCCAGGAAGAAGAGCCTAGCAGGCATAAAGCGAGCCCGTGCAAGGGCCGATGGTGACAGTGATGCCGAGGACCCAGGGGCACCTCCAGAGGCATTGGGGGCAAGCCAGCCTGAAGAGGAAGAGGATGACGCTGAGTATTTCCGCCAGGCTGTGGGCGAGGAGCCTGATGAAGGTGTGCGGCAATGTCTGCTAGTGAGACCCCTTGACCTTTTTTTTTTTTTAATTTCTTCTGAGGACCATAACCATTTCTCTCCCCTACAGACTTGTTCCCCACAGTGGCCAAGCGGAGACGGCGGGGCGGACCTCTGGGCAAGAAGAAGCAAGGAAAGGAGCAAAGGCCTGGTAATAAAGGCCGAGGTCAGGGTGGCAACTGGCGGGCTCTAAAGCTACGTGGTAAATCCCAGAGAGTCAAGAGCAAGCTGGGACCCAGAGCTACACACCATAATGTGGGTCCAGCATCAAGGAGAGGAACCTGAACCTGTCTGGTCTGATGGACCATGGATGCCTCAGATTGGGGCCCGGAAGCTGTCCTGGCGTCCAGTGCAGTCCGGTTTCCTTTTATAAAGGATCTGCCTAGTTCTTACTTCCAATAAACTTTAACATGGCACTTTTTGAGTTTTCTCTCTGGTTGGGGCAGGGCAGAGCTAGCAGTACTTGGTTGTGACAGGCCAAGAGGCAGGCCCAGCCAGGATAGTACAGAGAGTAAATGGGGCTAGGTGGGAGGTGTTAAGAGTGCTGGCTTATGTCTTAAGCCTGTGCCCAGACTGCTGGGAACCCAGAAGCTGCTGTGAAGATTATGTCTGCCCTCTCGGGTGAGCCAGCACTCAACCACCTGACATGGGCTCTATGGGGCTAACCAATACCCCACCAGGTGCCAGCTCAGAGGGACATTAAGGGAAGGATGGTGGAGGGAGTTTGAAGTGGCCAGGCCAGAAGTAACCCAACACACAGCTTGTGGTTCTTTCTTAGAGGATACTTGGTGGGGCTGGCTGCTTGCTGGATCTGGGAATAATGCATTGGTTTGTAAATGGGGCAGAGATGTCTGGAATGGTAAGGTTACAGAGTAGATACCCCTCACTGTTATCTGGGTACCCTCTGGTGGCTTTGGAGGACTTAAGAACTTTGCAACTGCTCTGAGTGGTGATGGCAAGCAAGCCATCTGTAGTGTCTCAGTACAGGGTCCTGTGCCTACCCAGCCTTGTTTCCAAATGACTTAATGTGGTCCTGGCCCACTCCATATGAAGACAGCTTGCTCTTTCAAGTAATGGTAAGGGACCTGCCAGGCCGCATTTGCACAGGGCCTCCACCTGCTCAACACTCACTGGTAGGAACTGGTATTTATGCAAATTCAGGAGTAGGGCCTAAGGCAGGCTGCTCTGACTGCCCACAGGTAACTTGTCCTGCCTACAAAAGTACTTGGGAGCTACTAGCAAGCGCATGCATTTTCAGGACTTCCTCTGGCTCATCCTGATGGCAGAGTTCCTCTTGGCCACTGCTGTACTGTTTTATCACCACCAGAGCAGAGGCCCTGGCACCCAGCTGTGGTCTCTGTGTAGCTAACAGTCAGCAGCCTGTTCTAACAAACACTGCCCCCTCTGGCTGCCTACTTTTACCCACTGTAGCTTCAGGGATGTGGATGTGGCATGCTGCCTGGAGCTGGGGGCCAGTGGTGTGGCTCTCTATGCCGGCTCCTATGCTGCCTGCCACATCACACAGCGCCCCATGTGGATGCCAAGTCTCGCTGAATGGCTCGCTGCCCCAGCTTCTCCAACAGGGTGCAGGCTGAGCAGGAGCTAGGGCCCTTCTTTGGCTACCTGACAACATGCATCCTTGTGCCAGGGCCACATGCTCTACATGTCTGTGGCACCCAGCCTGAGATGCCACCCACGTCACCAAAACTCTGACGACAAGAGCCCTTGCCAAGACTTGCCTCTAGAAGGTACAACCACTCACCAAAACCAGCTGAGCCCATGACTGCTGAAGCCTCCTTGCCACAGGCTGGGTTGTGACAACAGCACTAAAGTACCAAGGGTCCTCCACCTACCCCTCAAGGCTGGTGCCTCACCAGTGGAAGCTGCCTCTCATCAAGGCAGGTCCTTTATAAAAACTTGGGCTGAGGAGGGGCCAGCCTCGCACCCCACCCCTGCCCCCCATCAGGAGACCCATGAAAACAAGCAGGACACAGTGCATTTGGAGTCTGTTTACTGGAAGCTTTCTGTCCCTGAGGAACTGGACAACAGCAGCAGGCAGCAGATGTCTTGTTAATTCGTTGATGGCCTGGAAAGAGGAAGGAAGTGGTAAGGATGCAGGTGGGGACCTGTGACCCTGAAGGTCACCTGAGACTGCACTCACACACCAGGGAAGCCCGCTCTTGCCTGCTCAGGACCAGTAACATCCTGCCTGGCAAGGTCTTTCCCAGAGAACAAAGGACCTTCCTTCAGACAGGCCTGGCAACCACATATCGGGGCTAAGGGAAATGTACATAGGGGTAGGAGGGTCCTTACTTGGCCCACTCGACATTGAGGATTAGATGGTCGTAGCCAAAGCCAGACACCCCTGCAATGGCACGCGCGGCGTCCTCCCGGCGGTGAAAGCTGATAAAAGCAAAGCCCTGTGGGCCAGGGGCAGACATGGAGGCAGTAAGCAGTGGGTCACGGGATCTGCTCTCCAGCCGCCCAGTCCTCAGCCCAGCTCACCTTGGACTGCCCAGTGGTCTTGTCCTTGGCCAAGTAGATTCGGGAGATGGAGCCAAAAGGCCGGAAGAGTTCCTGCAAGTCAGTCTCACGCGTGTCCTCGGACAGGTTGGTGACACGGATGGTGGCATTGTCATCAGCTTTGTGGGCAGAACAGGGAGAGGCAGCAGTGAGAAGGACCCCACACTCACAGTGCAGGAGCAATTACAGGGTGTCTAGTTAGCCGCTTGCTACCTGGTTTTCCTACCCTCTCACCTCTGCGGTTTGGCTGCATAGACTCCCCACGGCGGCTGGCCCCATCCCGGAGACTAGGGGGCACGTACTTCCCTGTCTTGTTCTGGGCGGCCTGCACAGGCTCCAGCTCTGGGAAGCAGCAGACAAAAGTATTATTGAGGCCCATCCCCCAGGTGTAGGCATCCAGTCATCCTTTGGTGACCCAAACATATCCAGGAAGCTACCACTCTTCAAAGTCTGTGCTGACAACATGAGCAAAATGAACAAGCCACAGGGCAGACAGGATCCAGGCACCCACGGCCCAGCACTGCAGAGCCCCACAAGCTAGAGACCTCCAGCCTGGCAGCACCCAGACTACAGGCACACGACACTGAGGGATGTCCCCAGGCTACTCATCCAGGATAGCGAGAAACAAAACTCCATGCAAGTCACGGGAGGCAGCTACCCCCACAGGACACCATATTAGATTTTGGTCTACAGAGCCACACTGACCCCAGCACATACATGGGCGCTGCCTGAACATGTGTACATACATATATACACGCACACAAGTTAGAATAAGTCATCAGTCACACATCAGAATGACCACACCCAAAGCCACTCAAACTTGGCCATAGGTGATGTAGAGAAAGAAAACAGCACACTACAAAAGGAACAGCTGAGGCCCCTCCCAGGTGTCCCATGCCCACACCTCCTGGCAGTTTCTCCTTCTCCCCGGTAGACAGGCCAAGCTGCTCAGCCAGCTCCTTCTGCATGGGTCCTAATGTGTCCTTGTAGGGGCAACGGGTGGTCCAATGGTCACCCTTGCAAATGCGGCAGGACACAATCTTCTGACCCTTGAGCTTGTTCATTGGGTCTTCCTCCTCCTGGCAGTTTAGGTCCTGGTGGGGAACAGGGAGGGATGGCTCAGAGGGGGCTGCTGTGCCCCACCCACACCACCCCCACTGCGCTACTAGGGCACCAGTTTTACCCTCCTCACCTCTTTGCTAGTGATGAATGTCATGGAGACATCATCACTGACTGTGGTAGTGGCCACATTGGGCCCTGGTGGATCAAACTCCGAGTTGCCAAACTTCTTCCAATTCTGGGCTCCCAGAAAACAATGCAGAGAAGTAAGGAAAAGGCAGGAAGATCCCACAGTGGGTACCCCAGATGGACAATCGTTCCGGAGCCTTGAATCCCACGATCCACTCTTCCTGAGGCCTTCCATGTGATAACGGTGACAATCCCTATTTCCTAAGCTAGACATGGTGGTACACAAGTGTCACCCCAACACTAACCCAGTGCAAACAGGAGGACCCTGAGCTACAGGTCATCCTGAGACACAAGCTCAAAACCAGCCTGAGCTATATGAGGCCCCATCTAAATAAATAAATAAACACACAAACAAAAAAAAACAAGGTACTGGTGAAATAGGTCAGTGTGAAGAAGTGTGGTCCACTTTGTACACTTAACAACCTAAGCTGGATCCCAAACACTCATAAAAAGTTGAGTATAGGGCTTAACCATGCCGCTGGCAGCTTCTTGGGCAGGTCTATGGGCCAGCTCCCATCAGGAATGAAGGAGGAGTCACCCAGATCGGAGGAACCCTGAGCTAGTCAAACCTGAAACTCATTTCCTTCCTGTAAAACAGGGACCACAAAGCTCCCTGCCTCATGAAGCTGGTCTGGAGACTGAGAAGCCGCATCCTGCTAACTGGCTGGCATGGGCCCTTGCTCTCCAGTATTGCTGTCCTTCCTCTACAAGCCCTCGTCCCTCCGTAAGTAGAGGCTGCTTGCTTCTTCATGTGGACACGAAAAGGAGAAAGACTCTAAGTCAAGGCTCAGGAGGCTGAGGCAGAAGCATTTCAAAAGAAGATTACAGAGCTAGGCCTCAAAAATAACACAGCAGGATTGGTGGCAACGTCATTAATGCTAATGCCGGGAGGCAGAGGCTGGCGGATCTCTGAGTTCAAGGCCAGCCTAGTCTATAGAGAGAGTTCAGGACAGCGAGGACTACACAGAGAAACCCTGTCTGGAAAAACAAACCACAAACAAAAAATCCCAAGAGGGCTGGCTATGTCTCAGAAGAGTATTTGTCATAGAAGTGCCCACCGGAGTCTGATCTCCAGCACCCACAGTGAGGAACTGTGCACAGGTATTCCTAGTACTGCCCAGATAGGAAGTGGACACAGCAGGACCCCTGGAGGTTAGTGCCCAGCAAGCCTAGCCTGGTTCCTAATATCAAGAGACCATCTCAAACCAGAAGTGTAATGTGCTGTGTGTTGGAGGAATGATACCGTGCACACCCGCACACAAGAGAATAACTAAAAATAAACAAATAAAAATGTTTAAAAAATCTAACTTTGCTGGGCAGTGGTGGTGCATGCCTTTAATCCCAGCACTTGGGAGGCAGAAGCAGGCGGATTTCTGAGTTCGAGGCCAGCGTAGTCTACAGAGTGAGTTCCAGGACAGCCCGGGCTATACAGAGAAACCCTGTCTTGAAAAAAAAAAAAAAAAACCAAAAACCAAAAACCAAAAACCAAACAAACATAACTTCATTTATTCCTAGGTCCTAAACTTTCAAGCCCTAACACTAAACCTTTATTCTACATCATCAACAAATAGGGGCTTCCCAAATCCTCTGGGTCAGTCCTGGGGAACACCCCCACCCCCAAATGAGGTAGAATCTCACCTTCCTC